TGGGACCACCACAAAAAAGTTGCTCTTCCTGGAACATGACAGTTTGGTGAGCCAGACAGCAGAATTTCAAATGCTACTCTTAAAGGATTCTATGGCTGTAGGCAGCCCTTCAGACCATCCTCTCCCAAATCTATTACAAGAATAGCACCTTAAATCAGGCCAGAAATAAACCGGCATTCAGACCTGTGGGCACAAATGAGGCATACATGATCCAAATGTTTCATTCTGAATGCATTTGAACCTTTTTTTGAACTAGCTTTTAGTTCTGGACCATCTTCATGGGCAAACCTATAAAAAGAGCATTGCAGCAACCAGGTTTGTACATAACAGGAGCATGTGTTACAGAAAAAAAGTAAGCTTTCTCCAGAGGAGGCCCCTGATGATGAACTAGACAAGGGTGGTTAAAAAAAACACCAACAAAACCTCTTAATACCCCTACATGGATTGCTGCCTTGTCGTGTCGAAGGGGCTTGAGTAATTCAAAGAATCTGTGGGCTATGCCATGCAGGGACACCCAAGATGGACAGGTCATAGTGGAGAGTTCTGACTAAACGTGATCCACCTGGAGCAGGAACTGGCAAGCCACTCCAGTATCTATGCCAAGAAAACTCCATGGACAGAAACAAAAGGCTAAAAATTATGACGCTGGAAGATGAGCCCCTGAGGTTGGAAGGTGTCCAACATGCTACTGAGGAAGAGTGGAGGACAAGTACAGGTACCTTCAGATCTAATGAAGTGGTTGGACCAAAGCCGAAAGGACACTCAGCTGCGGATGCGCCTGGAAGTGAAAGGAAAGTCCGATGCTGCAAAGAAAAATACTTCATAGGAACCTGGAATGTAAGATCTATGAACCTTGGTAAGATGGATGGAGTCAAACAGGAGATGATGAGAATAAATTGACATTCTGGGTGTCAGTGAACTAAAATGGACAGGAATGAGCATACTTAGTTCAGATGATTATCATATCAAGTATTATGGGCACAAATCCTGTAGAAAAAATGGAGTAGCCCTCATATTCAACAAAAGAGTGGGAAAAGCTATATTAGGATATAATCTCAAAAATGATAGAATGATTTCAATATGAATCCAAGGCGCACTTTTCAACATCACAGTAATCCAAGTTTTTGCACCAACCACCAATGCTGAAGAGGCTGAAATTGACCAGTTCTATGAAGACTTACAACACCTTCTAGAACTGACACCTCCCTGACACTTTGGTCATCTCATGAGAAGGGAAGACTCCCTGGGAAAGACCCTGATGTTGGGAAAGTGTGAAGGCAAGAGGAGAACGGGACGACAGAGGACAAGATGGCTGGACAGTGTCATCGAAGCTGCCAACATGACTTTGACCCAACTCCGGGAGGCAGTGGAAGACAGGAGGGCCTGTCATGCTCTGTACCATGGGGTCTGTGACAAACCCAGACCTACTGGGATATGCCACAGTTTCACTAAGCTGCCACCAACCATTCCCTATAAGAAGTCACACAGACCAGGGATGGATTTTTAACCAATAAAAGAACAAGGTTTATTAAATAACACACAGGGAAAAATAAAAGGATCAAGTGAATAAGATACAGTAACGTGGCTTAGTCTCAATCATACATACACACAGTTTGGTTCACACAGAACACTTAACTTGAAGCACAGACCCTGAACCTATCAGTTCTGGCTAACCATACAGACACCTGAACCTATCAGGTTGGTACTGACTGACACACAGTAGTACCCTGTCTGACACACAGACTCCCACTCAAGCTTCTTCTTCCCAGCTTCTCCAGCTTCTTCTGCAGCTCTGCACACTCTCCACATATATATACAGTACAGCCCCTCCTCCTGATGTCCCGCCTTCCACTCCCCATAGGATGGAACTTTCCCTCCAAACCCATGACAGACAGGTAACATCAGTGCTGTATGTAACAGGGTCACGAAGAGTCAGACATGACTTAATGACTAATCAACAAAAACCTTTTGCTATCAAATAACCATGGTAAGTGGTAAATTGAGACATACACCCAAATTGTATACCTGTTTTCTTAGTTGCAGACAACCAAACCAGCTATCAGTTTCATGTATCCATCAAGATTGCATCATCTAGCCTACTAGCAAAAATTAAAAAAAAAGCTGCAATATGAGGGTCACATGTGGCAATTATAGTGAACAATCTATATTTAAAGATTAGTCAAAATCATGTTAATTTATTATGCATGTGGAAGGCAAACGGTGTAACATTCACTGTTTACTTCTGGTTGGCAGTTAACAAGTTCTTGCTGGAATTCTCTGGGGCATGGCAAGTTAATGAGTGTGTAAGCCCCAAGGAATTCTAACAGCTACTTATTAAGAGCCAGCTAGAACTACCTGAATCGCACGCAGTTTGCCTTCCATACACATTGCAAAACAACAGGATTTTGGCTGGTGCTTTTTTTTTAAACCAAGGAGACTCCCAAAAGGAAGGAAGGAACATTTGTTTTCTCTGCACCTGGGTTTATTGGCACAACAAAATGCAAAAGTTCTTTATCCAACCAACACCCCCTTCACCTATATCATTTCTCCTGCAAAGGAATTAGTATTACAGGAAAAATCCAAAGAATTTTGCCAAAAATGAAGACCACTCATGTATCATTTTGTTATATATGCGTCCTGCTAATCATCACATGGACTTATATTGCTAATCGTGACATCTCCCATCCTCTAGAAAAAGTAGACCTTAGGAGGTTTTTGTTATTTGTTTTGTTTTGCTCAATGCATAACATTTACTTATTATCATGCTGCTTTCAAGGGAGGTGGCCAGGTGGCCAGTTCTGTTTAAGTTTCTTGAATAAAAATAAATAAATAAATAACATTGATAGCAGCCTGTTGACAACTTTTGTTGCTTACAAAAATGCACGGCTGGTAAGTAATGGTTTGTTTTTAATAACAGTTCCAAGCTCTGGAGATGTGTAAAGGCCATGGGGCTATGCATGATGGCTCCACCCTAGTACTCCTCGCCTCGCCACCCTTTCCTGCCCTGAGAAGGGATCGGCCATTGAAAATTAAATACATGTATTGGCCTTCCTAGCTTTTAAGGTTTTCCAGGGATCTCCGGGCCCTTCGCTCAGTCCCACTAACTTTTCAGACATGTTTTATGGAGACACAAGAGAGGGTCTTCTCTGTGGGTGCTCCCAGGATGTATACTTAAATTTGCTTTAAGGTGCTTTAAAACAGTTTTAACTGGTTATTTTCATATTTAATGTACTGTTTAATTATTTTTAAGGTAATAATTTAGTGCATTTTTAACTAGTTTGGTCTTTTAACAATTTGTGAGCTTTCATGGGTCCTACTAATTGGCCAAAAAGTGCCATAGAAATAAAATAAACTCAATGGTATTGGGTGACTTGCCTTATTAGGATTCCTACTGTACAGAGTGGGGAAACCGAGTCATATTTTAATAAGCTTTCATGCTGTGGGGGTTCTTTCATGACCATGTTACACTGATGGGGCTGATGGGAGCTGGAGCTCTGGAGGGCCACTGGTTCCCACTCCTGATTTATATACTGGTTATGAAAGAAGAGTCAGCCGTGACCCTTAAATTTCTTAATTTGCTCCGGTCAAGAGAGTCAAACCTGAGATAACTGAGAACATAAAGAGACACCAGCTTAATCCCCCTCTCTTTGTTCTGTACAGCACACATAGGAACAACATTTTCCTCCTTTTGTATTCCTTCAAATCTGTTTTCATCAGCTCTGCATTTCTAGGCATCCTCTAAATCCAACCTATCATTTTCATGCTGTTCCAAAGACAAAACAAGCCCACCTGTGCATTTTCTGTCAAAATGATGATGTCAAGAGCTTTTCTACACTTTCTTTTTGGTCCATAGCAAAACCCTGTCTTGTGGCTCCCTTTGCATTTGTTTTGTTTGAAGGTATTGGAAGAAAGCAGCAAGACTGTGCAGGTGGAGGGCAGCCAGATTAGGCAGGCACTTCAAGAGAATTAATTGCTATTTTTGTGGCAGGAGGGGGGAAAAGACCCCAGCACTCTCAGGATTTATTTAGAATGGGAAAGCTTCAGATGTGCACCATGTTTCACTAGTCATTATTTTTTAAAACTTATCACTCAGCACTAAATCAGTGGAAGGGCACTTTCGGATCAACTCTTTCCTCGTCTTCTCCTTTTTTCTTGTTCTGAATTGTGGTTACAATCTGATGCTTTGCAATTGAACCTCTTTCCCTTTCTATTTGGGTTTTCTGCTTGGTAATGAAATCAACTTTGTTTTGGAGCACACCACTAAACTGGTGCGTGAAGTATAGTGGATGCCTACATCTGTCTGAAATGAAAACATTCCTTTCTTATTGATCAATGTGATACCTCCTCATTATTCTTTGTGAGGAAGGAGAATGTCTAGCATATTTCTAAGATGAGTTACAGGGTTGATGGTTTGCCTGCCACATCAATGGTTCGCCTCATCCCTCTCTGTCCCTCTCAGACACACTTGACTTAGGAAAACCATGAACCACGGCCTATAGCTTCTTCATATTTTCAAGTGGCAGATCAGCTTGTCCTTCTCTTTCTCCTCTTTCTGTGGCTAAGCTTATTATCACAAACTCAGGATGAATACTGCAAGGTGCTTCTCTCTCTCTCTCTCTCTCTCTCTCTCTCTCTCTCTCTCTCTCTCTCTCTCTCTCTCTCTCTCTCTCTCTCTCTCTCTCACACACACACACACACACACACACACACATCTCTTTTGAAATTTAGCATAGGCACTTCAACATCACATGACAAAGTGACACTGAGAGAAACTTCATGAAAATAGCTGCGAGGCGGAACAGCGATCGTTTCCTACAAACCACAGAAACTTTGATCAAAGAAGGTGAGTGACAACTGAATGAAGGCATTCCGTCAGTATGTCCTATTTTCAATTTGGCAAATGCTGAACTTTCCTGAACTCGTCAAGAAGTTCTATAGGAGAATAAATAGAAATACGCTTCCCTTCCTTTCCTCCCCCGCTCCTCTCCCACTGTTCCTACCTATGAAGAGATTCCATTCAGTATCCAAATCAGCCTGGTTTGCAAGGCAGCCCTTCATTACGTTGAGGCAGTAGTTGTTGCAAGGTTTCACAGTGGGAAGTCCCCGGCAGTAAGGACAGTACAGCATCTTCATTAGTGCACGGATGCATCCTGGGGTAGGGCTGACCTATAGAGTTTAAGGGCAGGAGAAAGGAAAACAAAGGAAGTCAATTTCCTATCTCCAATCCAGGGATCTGAGAAGCCTTCAGGCACTAAAACCACAACTGATAACGTAGGCAAGAACTTAACTCTTCATAAAGGAAGGGAACTCCTGCTGCCACATCATAGATCACCATAAAATTCAGAATGACACCTCCACGCAGGCACACACCATACAGTAGAACAAAGCAGTCTAGTCATGCATGCAAGAGAATGCTGACTGAAACTCCCCTAGAAAGCTCAGTTCACTGCTTCTTTTGCATTATGAAAAAAAAAACTTTAAGAAACATAGAAAACGACAGGATGAAACCCTGAGACAAGCTGTGTGATTTTTCTATGTCCCAAAGCAATCTGGGTACACATACCTTGCTGATACAAGATTATGGAACAACACCTGTCTGGTTTCCATCATTGGCATTTTGGATAATAGGCAGGTCCCATAGAACGGGTCTTCTGGCACTTCCCATCTTTCTCCCCTTTTCCTTATCCTTCCTTATACCTTGTAGGTCAATTTCCAATAGCCATTGAGACTGTCTCTTCTGAGACCTCCTCTCACTCCCTTCCCTAGCCCAAAATAGTTCTGCTCAGTGCATCAATAAGAATAGCAACACTTCATAATAATAGGAACAACGCTTATGTTTCATTCCACAGAAAAGGGCCATCTTCATGGGACACAGACTTCTCCAGAAGGAAATGTGTTGCAGATTTGCAATCCACCCAGCAGATTTAACTCTCTTTCCCCCCTCCTGGGCATATCCATCTGCCTATGATTTAGTTGTACTGTTTTGCAGTCACTCCCCTATGTAAGAAGGTTTCAAAGATTAATGAATTGAGGAAGGAATTGAATCTCTAACACACACAACAGCCTGCAGGCTCCTAGATTTCTTAAAAAAAACCAACCTCTGTTCCCCACATGTCCAAGCTCCCATTTCTATTCCAGACAATATCATTCCATTCACTTTCTTTCTGTTTGCTATCATGCTATCAGAGGGTGCCACCACAGCATCATGCTCCCATTGCGGAGAGGAGGAACCGGAACTAGGATTATTCTTTCTGCTGATAGATATAGGAAACAGCACTGTACTAAAGTATCAATCTTTTGATGTTTCTCACTGAGGAACATCAAGCACACTATATTCCTGTGTTTCCTTTTTTTCATCCCATGATCTTCCAAGAAAAAAAGTGTGGTGGGAGTGTTTGACAGGAACCATTGCAAAGATGTTGGATGGAAGTTAGGAAATGAGAATAATGGGTTCAGATCAGAAGATAAAGGAATGGGTGGAAATGAGTGGGAAAATATAGATTAGTGAGTCTGGTAATTGCTAAGGCACACAGAAATTTTGGAAGCAGTGTCTTGAACCAGGCAGGTTTTTGATTAGACCGTTAAGACTAGACCTTTAAGAGAACACAGAAAAGAAAAAAATCCTCCTGTTTCATCCCATTTCCGTGAGGAGGTTATCCATTTGTCTTTAAAAAAAGAGAGGCTGCACATCTGCACTTCCCTAATACACTTTACCCCCCCTTCTTCAGCCCCTCCATGGAACTCAGGAAATGTTTAAGTTGCCAATATCCTGAGGTGGCTCTTTTCTTAAGCCGCTTCATGATATTGGCAAATTGACAGCAGGCTGGTGCAGATCAGAAAGAGTCATTTGAAGTCCATATGCCATTGGGATGTAAGGATCCCACCAGATGACGTTCCAGACCTTCTAGGAACTCTGTTTAGCCTTTCCCAGCCTACTCTAGCCAAGCCCTGACTCCTGATTCATACATGAGCATAACTCACTGGTTTAGGTCCCTGGCTGCAAAGCCAGAGGTTGGGAGTTCGATTCCTCACTGTGCCTCCTCAGCAGGGACTGGACTTGATAATCCACAGGGTCTCTTCCAGCTCTGCAGTTCTAAGGTGGAATAGGTCACTTCAGTGCTCCAGATGACATCTTTGGAAGTTGTTAATTTCAGGGAATTCAGATTCACCACATCTATAGGTGACTCTTGGCTAAAATAAGCCCCATGTTTAGAGTTGTAGTGAAGTGGAGACAACACACACATAGCAAATTAAATCATATTATCTACATTTCTGCTTTGAGTATCTATAAAGGAACTTAGCCTTTCTGGTGTATCAAACCTATTTTGTTATGTGTTTACTAGGCTACGTAATCATCCCTTCGGCTCCACATGCTCCCTGTATTTCTTTGACTCATTATGTTAGCAGAATGTGGTGCTTCCTGCTGACTGTTTTTGCAAATATTAGGAGAAACACATGCTATTTAGCAAATAGTGAGGTACTGAGGAGGAAAAAAAAATCCTCCTTTTTCTCTCTTTTTAATTTTGCTCACTGCTTGATACTCTCTCTCTCTCTCACACACACACACACACACACACACACACACTCACAGAGAGGGAGAGAGAGAGAGACACACACACACACACACACACACACACACTTTCCTTTGAGAATTGCCTAATTCTTCCAAATAGAGTTTGTTACTCTTAGTTCAGTGTAAAATCCTGCACTGAAACATATTTGCCCTGATATTTTCTGTATGTATGAGTAGCTAAGGACTGCTCTAGATATCTCACTCTTCAATTGCCCGAGGCCAGAAACTCGCTTTCAGAAAGGAGGATGCTGTTCCATGTCTCCCAGCACATAACTTTATGGTGACATTAGGATTATATAATTAATCTGGTTCCTCCACAATGTTCAGCTTTATTTCTTCACTGATCCTGGTCTCTCTCCTTGCATTCCTGTCATTCAGAGGAGGTCATCACTGAGGGGCGTGCGTCTGTGCATGTGCAGATATACATGTACACATATACATGCAGGACTGCATTGGTGGCTGCAGAGTCCTTTAGCAGTTGCACAGATAGACAAGATGGGGGTGGGTGAGGTCAGGACGATGCCTCTCATCCATGTACACATTTTGTTATTGTTGTTGATACGCTGTCAAGTTGGAACCAACTTACAAGTGACCCTAATATGTGAGATCCTTAAGGGGTGGTTTTACCAGCCCCCCCCCTTGTTTCTATGGGTGAACAGTAATTTGAACCAGGTATTCTGTGTCCTAGGCCATAAATCTATTCACGACACCACACACTGGGCATCATAAAAATGCTCAGGTTGTAAAATTATCCTCTAAATTGTGTATTCTTGTTTATTTAGGCCCTCTTGAGGAGATGAGGAATTCTCAAGCCCTGAACAACTTCTTACCTCCAGGTTTTTTTCCTATGGGGGAAAAACTCACCGCTATGCGGAAATCCTCCATCCGGCCGCCATTTTCGCTGCCCGGTAAGTGAGGAAACCATGCGAAAACGCTGTGGATGGCCATTTTGTTTAGCCGGCAGCCATTTTGGAACCGCCAATCAGCTGTTTTTAAAACATTGCAATGCGAAGATCGGTAAGCAAAACGCTTACCGATCATCCCAATGCGATTTTTAGCCACTGAAAACATTGCAATGCGATCACTTTTGCAATCGCAAAATCCGCATCGCTATGTGGATTCGTCGTTAAACGGGGCGCTCGCTATGCGGGGCACCACTGTATTACTATATGATGCAAACAGTGCAACATTTGAAGGCAAATTGGATCAAATTAAAAAATCACCATAGACCTTACTTCTGGGCATAACAATAGGGTTTGGCCCCAATTTGCTTACAAGGATTATTAGAAGTGGAACAAATTTAAAGCCTCTCTATTCAGTGATTCCAGTTTAGATCGCTGTTTCTTCTGGCCGATGGTAGCACTGGAAAAGCACTGCCTGTGCATGTTTCCTGCTCTCCAGCTAATGGCACATCTTGTAATCAACTATGAAATGAAACGTGGTCAGGGCTGATGCCCAGCTTTGGTTTCTTTGAAGCCTGACATTTTGGTTGCATTGTGCTTTGCCAGTTAGTCTGTCTTAGTGAAAAATAGCTCTCCAATTGCCAATAACTGGCTTTCTTTGCTCCGTGGATAAATTGGGTTTATTGCACATGCTGACTAAACAATCTCCTTCATCTGTTTCCATCTCTTTGTCTTTTGTTTCCTTGTGTGTATAGCAGCTCTGCATCTCTTCTAACAATCTGCACAGCTTCATGTTTGGGATGGGAATCTTATGGAATCACATTTTAGAAGATAACCTGAGGAGAAATAAAATCACTCTTCTTTTTTCACAACAAGATTTCACCATGCAAGTCTTTTTCTCCCTCAGAGGAATGTCATGGGAAGTCTTGTGGGAAATCTCAGATATTTTATGCTTTTGTTTTCTGAAACAAATTCCAAGCTATATAGGAGTATTAAAATTCCTGCACAGAATGATTCCTGAAGTGGATTCACCGAAGAAGCACAAAGTTTGGGCAAGATTTTCAAGTTTTCACCTACAAAGTTTCAGTTTTCACCTAGAAAGGGTGGAACAAGGGGGAGGGGAGAGCACAAAAAGAGAAAATGAAGCCAGAGACTTGTTTTTAGAAAAAGCCGGGTCTTGTCAATGATGGGAAAGTTCCAGCAGGATGTCTTGGCCTTGTGAGACTTGGAAAATTATTGAAAATGAAATATCTTCTGAATTCCTGCCACATCCCTACCTCACTTAGGAAATGATTAAACATAGACCCTATGTTTCGAAACGGTGAAGTGATAGTTCTTTTTTTTTCTAGATGCAAATGCATAATGAGGGGAGCATGAAAGTCCATGGAAGAGAAGACGGACAACTCCTCTTGTTCATTATATTTACCTTCACACAGTAGTCTCAAAAAGGCCCCCCCTCTCTCTGTGTGTGTGTGTGTATGTCTCAGTTTTGTTTCATTTTCACATATGTGTGCGCACTTGTCCACATTTATTTTTCTAATTCAACTTAACATGCACATTCATTAACAGTACATATATTTTATAATATGTGCATTTTCTTGGAACTACTGAATAGCTCAGTAGTTTACATATCTGACTGTGGATCCAAAGACTGGGGGTTGAATTCCCCACCATGGCTCCTTGACAGAGGC